AAATAGAACAGATTAAAAGTAAGAGCTGGAAAGAAGATAAAGATGGGGGTATTTAACATATAATATGATTTTTATACCTCTATGGCCCAATGTGTCAAAATGCATCAAATCTATTTTCATAAATTTTCTTGGAAAGAACCCTTCAGACATTCCATGAGAGCTTCCACAGAGCTTCAACATTTTGAATCCAAACTTGACAGCTGTCCCCCCATTAAATCATAGTTCCCCCTCGGAAAGCTGACGTTGCCATGGTCATACAAGAATGTATATAAGATAATAAAATCTGTACACGCAAGACAATTCCGTAAAACAAAATCTCATCCAAAGTATGGCAAAATCAACAGTAAAGATATTATAGTATTGGATTCCTACAAAGAGAAGTACCAGCAGGTGTTTCTAAAAGAGTAAGCATGGTCTGTTGATGCAGGTTGAAATCCTTTTACCTTGGTTTGGATTCTGTCCCCTGGCCATCTGTGATGCTTTAATAGAATGGACATTAGCTCTGAGGAATGGATTATCAGCTGAGGTGATAGCTTGGTTTAAAAACTCTTCTGATGGTGCACCTAAACAAAAACATAAATTTAGTTTAAAACAATATATGATGTTCTTAATAGAATAGGGAGGTGAAGGGGAGGGTTACCATTGTCTTGGAGGACAGAACACAAGGATTTAATTGGCAGATACTGTACGGTAATAAAACGTTAAAATGTTCAACTTGTTCAACATTCTCTAATTGTCATTATCATTCATCCAAAGTCAAGTCTGGTAACAAGCTTAAGAACATGTGGTTTTTTAGGAATTGCTACAATACTATATGCATTAGAGGTCCCTTTCTCGTAGGGTCCTGGGTCACATCTCTTTTACCCTTCCCAGGTGATCAGGCTTTTAAATCCTTTTTCTGTCAGTTTCTCTGATTAATAAAAACCATTAAAGTTAAGAGAAATCATCCGTGATCCCATCAATACATAAGTAAATGAGTTTTCAACTCTGATGAATATTTTCATTTCTACTATCACTTCCTTCTAAAAACCTGTTACGCAACAGACTTGGTCATTTATTCAGTTGGTCACCTGATCAATTATGTTTACACACCAATAATGCTTTTGAGATCAACATTTAATTCTTAAAAAAAGGTCATCAGAAGAAAACATGAAGATTAAACAGGAACGTACCTCTACCACTGGGGTCTAATCTCTGATAACCTTCAGCCAATGAAGAGAAACCAGTTATTCCTCCCATAGCAGCATAAGGTGTAGCTTGTCCAATAGGATGACCTCTTTCAACTCTTTCATCAACTGTTTCTACCACCATAGTGTGTTCAGAGAATGGTGCAGCACAACCACATGTAAACGAACTTTTAAACCCTATACATTTCATACAGGCGGCTGAAAACAAACACAGGAAACTAATTATAAAGAGGTTTGTAAACATTTATATCAGGTACACTTTTAGCTTCTATTTACACTATTCTAAATTTCAGTCAGACATCTGTAGCTTTCTTACCATATTAAGACGTCACTTTTCAAAATTGGATTAAAGTCTAGCAAGACAAACATCTCTATTTCATAACAGACAAAATGAATGAAGATTCTTTTCATTATGTTCTTCATCAGGGACATTATTTAATAATAACACCTTCCTTAAGAGCATCCTCAATTATTTTTTTGTTTCAGGGAAAAAGATGCACTTTCATCTTCAGGAATATTGACAAAAAAGGTCATTTTCAAAATTTAAAACACCTGCTTCTAATTTTGCAGAAATTTGAAAATAACTTACCTTTTTTACAGACAAAAGGAGGAACTTCTGAATGTTCATCTGCCGGATGTTTACACGTACATCTGATAGACTGTCCCCCGTTTAATGGTACATAATGATAAGAACTACATTTACAACCTTTAACCTTACAAGGTAGTAATATAGGTCTAGTGGACGGTATCTTCTCAAAATCTGTTTTATGTTGCTTGTATCTACAGAAATATAAACAGTTATTTAACAAGAATGGATAATAAACATTGCCAACAAGCCCACAAGTATTACATACACCTGCTGGTAAACCTTGTAGAATATCACGGACAGAGATAATAAATATTCATGATGTCACATGACTTTCAAACTGGCCAATGAACACGCTTGGAAGAAGTAATTTTGTATATTCTATAAATATGAACATATGCAAGAAACTTGTGAATACCAGTAAAGCAAGGGCAATCACTCTCAATTGATATGGGATGTTTGACTGGTGATAGACCCAGCATTTCTGAATTATTTGTTTATCTTGTAAATTTCTCCAGAAGTAAATCAAATTGATGTATTCAAATGCTGAAATCCAGAGTGCCTACTTGTGACCTAGGCCAGTGCTTCTATAAGAGAGTATCTCTTATAAAACCTTATACCAGCCTCATATGAAGCTATTTTTTTCAATTTTTGCAGAAAGATTATGGCTACCTTATTTTACCTGTGTTTACAGAAACAGTTAGTTTCTGGACCAATCAGTTTACAATCCATTCCAGTTGGAGAACTCCAACTTGTAAATAGTCTATTTTTCATTCGCTGTAATATAGATAGAATAAGGATTTCTTTCTAATAAATAATAACCTTTTTGGTTTCTACTTTGACACAGAGCAGAATTAAGGTGCTACAGACAGTATTTAGAATGGTATCAGTAGGCCTTAACCATATAAACTTGAATAGATTGCTGGATTATAATGATTTTTAAAAACTATGGAAGCACCAAGTAGTTTTGTCAATTATGACAACTCACCTCTATGTGCTAATATCTTCACAATGTCATGCTATTTTGAACTTCAGTTTGCTACTTACAAACTTCAATGATACAAAAAGGTGGCTATTGTAGTCAAGGTATAAGATGCAGTTTGTAATTACTTGACATTGTGAAGATGATGCTTTTCCATGGGTCAAATGACAATTAAACAATCTGCTGCACCTCCAACAAAAAAGAGCAAAAGGACTGCATCTTCACAATGTCAAGCTATTATGAAGCACAGAATGCAGAGATTTGATTGGATTGTACACAAACAAATACAGCCAATGAGAGACCTCAACAGAAATGTTAACATCATGGCTTTATTGTTCACCTTCTGTATGCCTATGTATAAGATGCGGTTCATAATAGTTTATCATCAGTCTATCAACCTCTGGGTACAAATCATTTTCTACACCAAATAAGGTAAAACACTAATCAAGGGAAATAACTCTAGAAAATTACCATTGGTAGAACTTTTTTCTTGTAGTCTTCATATTGGTCTGGTGTAAACAAAACACCTCCATCATCATCACCTACTATTCTACAAGACAATATAATAGAGTTTTACATCCCATCCTACAGTATCAGGATTTGATACTATTGGGATGATTAGAAGCTTTGCTTGAGTCTGAGTTGGGACAGACTGAAAGGTTGGACATACCCAGGGGTCCAAGGAATCATTACCCAAAAAAATTGAAACTAATATAATTTTTGTCTCTTCGAATTCCTTAATAATAATTGGTCGTCCATGAAATAATTGATTATAATAACATGTAGGTTGAGAGCCATAAGACACTGATCACACCCAGGCACAGAACTGCTAATAGACACTAACTACTGTGTTAATAAAGGTTCACCCTAACAAGATGCATTAAAGTTAAACATCCTATATACTAAAACCTGCCTATGCCATAATGCCTTGATATGGATTATCTAGGGCTAAGCCCTAGCCTAGAGCTAGAATTTGACTGGACAGTAGTAGTCAGTGGCTGTAGCTAGAGCCGCCCCCTTTGTGGTACAGGACAGGCATTTGACTCCAGGAGCAGGAGGTTGACGCCGCCACTGGCCGTGATTGTAACTTTTATGAAATCAAGGCCATTCTTTGTTCTATGTTTATGAATTCTATATCGTCTGTTTTGTTGTTGTTTTTTATATAAATTTGTCTCATTCTCACCTTTTATATTCAAGATAGGCGTCCACTCCAGCCGCCTTGGAAGAGTCAAACTTGAGATGATACTGTCTATCCCCCATTTTGTTAAATTTTCACCTTTTAAAATGTTATTTTCACCTCAGACAGGTATTTTGGGTGTGTTCAATTTACATTGTTTACCTTAGTTTCAACCGGAAATAATAAAATATTATTAAATAGAGTTGTCTCCCTTGAACCAGACAAAGTAGGAAATCAATGATTCTGTACATCATTGAAATCAATGGACAAAATTTTTTCCCCCACCCTGTCGTTTACATTAAACTGTTCGATATTTTCAAAAGAGTAAATGAATAACAGAATTGTGAAATGGTTTGGGGATCAAAGGGATAAGAGGGAACCTCGGGGGCGGGTGTGGTATGGTAAGTCTCCCGATTTGAAATTTTAGAGTTGGGGGTCTCAGTCTCAATGAAATGTGATGTGTTTTACATCCTACTTTTCTGCACCATGTGCCTTAATGAAGACAGGCAACGCCATGCAGGGTACAATGAGGCAAATTTTGCCAGGAAATAAAGTGGCATTAGCCTTCTGTTTTTTCGATTTCCAACTGTCGAGGGATCCTTAGCGTGCACAGCATGTAGCACATGGGGGCCTCGGTTTATTGTCCCATCCGAACGACTGTCACTACATCACCGACGGGGAAATCGGGACAGTCCCAGGATAAAGTAGGTTACACATGGTCTCATATATAAGCTACCCCAAATGCCAAGAAACGTTTAGACATGTAAAAGAAACGTGCAGACATATTCATTTGTTGTTTGGGCCTCACCACCGAAACTTTGAAAAATATAGAAGTATATTGTATATAGCCAGATACTCCACCCCCGTCGTAACTAAAAAAATAACCTTGAAGTTACTATAACTACCATGACCGTGAATGATACACTTCAGATCACATCATAGAATATAGGCTTGTATAATCGTTCTCTGACATTGTTTATTCATTATATTATTCAGAGTTCATAGGTTGTCAGTAGCCTAATTATCAATACCAGTTGAATCAGTCGTGACCAAAGCAACAGTTGGCATTTATTAGTCATTTATTATACATATATCGTATATCAATCAATAAAATAGCTTCGAACATTATGACGCTAAGGAGATAATATACAGTGATTATGACATGATGATCGAGTCTAATCGATAAAGTGGATATAATCGTTTTCAAAGCTTGAGGCCATATTGACATAAATTGATTGATAACAGGCCCATTGTTTTTATATCCCTATACACTCCAATTAACGTATATTTATATATCGCCTTATATGGCAATGTTGTTTCAACCATTACGTATGCGTATATTAAAGTTAAAGGGTGATACATATTATAATCATCAGTTGTCTATAGTCATCATTTCAGAAAGGACTGCCCCTTAAAATAGTCTATAAACTATAATATATAAACTACCACAGGGCCCTGAATTATCTATCCAAGGTGTGTATACAAATAATATTTCTAATAAGGAAATCCCTATATCGCTACCCCCGCGGTAAGAAATCACCATCTTTGCAAATTTGTTACGTTAGGCAGTATACTTCTTCTCTGAAGTAGGGCGTAAAACTCCATTCATTTCATAGTTTTTCCGAAGATGCACAAAATAGTGTGTAGTAAATCCCATACCTTCTCACGGTTTTAATATTTAATATCATCTATATGTGTAATGTACATAATGTGAAGGTGACCGGTTAAATGGGTATATTGCCTGTAACAGTAAGTTCGAATCAGATTGAAATATATCTATTCTCATAGCTGTAGAAAACTAGGACGTAACACTCCAGCCCGTTTTATTCATTACTTCTAACATTTCTTCAATATTATAATCAGTCATTTTGTTTGTAAGGAGTGATCCTGTTCTATTTTTAAGTCCATGTATAACTATATATGATTTTCTTCTTCGAGTTTAATTCATTTTATCTTAACGTAAAAACACAAGTTGAATCCTGTGCCAGTGCCTTCTGTTTAACAGTGACTTGTTGCTTATCAATAGTCACAGGTTTTCTTTTCAACCACCCTAATCTCAATATTATCTCTATATTTTGGAAGTGGTCGTTTAAATGGTACGTAGAGGTAGGTATATGACAAGTTAACGTTCGCTTCCAACGGATGCTGATATCGCAAACTAGGTAGTTGTAGGTAGATGACAAGTTAACGTTCGCTTTCAGCGGATGTTGATATCGCAAACTAGGTAGTTGTAGGTAGGTGACAAATTAACATTCGCTTCCAGCGGGTGCTGATATCGCAAACTAGGTAGTTGTTGATAGATGACAAGTTAACGTTCGCTTCCAACGGATGCTGATATCGCAAACTAGGTAGTTGTAGGTAGATGACAAGTTAACGTTCGCTTTCAGCGGATGCTGATATCGCAAACTAGGTAGTTGTAAGTAGGTGACAAGTTAACATTCGCTTCCAGCGGGTGCTGATATCGCAAACTAGGTAGTTGTAGGTAGATGACAAGTTAACGTTCGCTTCCAGTGGATGCTAATATCGCAAACTAGGTAGATTCAGGCAGTAACTTTTGGATCATGCCCCCTCCTCCCCCTCCCTCAGGCCATAAAAAACGAAAAATTTATTCTATATCTACCCACAAAATCGTGTTTGATGTATTCTCCGGCTTTCCACACTAGAAAATTTTCCAGTGCCCTCTTATATCTGCAATAGTATGTCAGTGTGCTCAGATGCCCCACCCCCCGTCAATGAAATCCTCGCTACGCCACTGGTAAAGTTAGAATCGAATCCAACTACTGACATTTGAATAGGGCCCTATAATATCAGAAAACACATTTCCATAATGAAATGACTATGTTTCGGTTAATCTTGTATTATGTTAGAATGGTAATTTAGAAGGATAGTATTATGTTTCTCTTCCTTAATTTGTAAACTGATAATATGTCTGACAAGGTGGTAGAGGAGATTAGATTACTCTATAGTGTCTCTAACCGCATATAATCCCTTTTCATACTATTTCTATATACCCTTCAATACAGAGTAGCCATCGTGTATCTTAATATTCAACTATATTCTAATGTGCCTTAAATTGAATAGTAACTTGTAACCCTTCAATCAACCTAATCTCACCTAAAATTCCTAATCTCTAATATTATAGTATTTCTAAATCGTTAAGCAATATTTAGATGGAAAGATCACTTGAATAACGGAACACAATGTTTTGATACACTACTTCTGAGTTTTATTGTATCAAACCTTTCAACAATTTACATTGTCATCCATCTTTCACCTTATTGTGCTGTTTTTATAATGGGCGTATATGCAATAAGCCTTATCTTATCTTATGTTATCCATCGTATTACAAATACGGGTTTTGACACATGGGGATGTGATTTGTACACGATGATTGTCATCATATTAAGGTGGAATTTGTAGAAACGTTGTGTACAATAAAACCTAGAAGTAATATCATATGATTTATATATACTTATGATGGCAATGTAAATTGTTGAAACATTGCGTACAATAAAACCTAGATGTAGAATATAAACTGATGATGACAATGTAAATTGTAGAAACGTTGTGTACAATAAAACTCAAGAGTAGTGTATCATAATATTGTATTCGTTATTTCATAATAATAGTATTTTTTGATTTGAAAATTGTAATTCTGAATGAAAGAGACGATAACACAAATCAATCAATTAAATGCAAAATTAATTGATTTTTTCATGACAACCGTAGAGAAGCTCTAGCTTGGTAAGATTCATATCGCGGCCATATTAATTATGATAATAGCGAGTAAGAGTAGCGCGAGGTATAAACGATGAACATGGTGGCTCCATTAGCTATACGTGTATAATAATGACCGGAGGCTATAAACCACCATTGTGTGTTCTAACTGCCTAATATGTTACATAAAATAACAATGTGCAAACAATATCTATCTATCTATCAAAATATCCCCATTGTCGACTGTATTATTCCCCTAGTATAAAGTATATGTACACTCGCTAACAAAATGAACACGTAAAATATCGTCTGCTAAAATAAATAATGGCGCTGCAATATAAATGAAGTTTGAAAGAGGAAAAGAGTTTGTAAAAAATTGGCTTTAATTCTTAGACCCAAACTAGCAAATACTTTAAATTTATTGTAAATGAAGGAATTTTTTAGAATATTTGATGTATTTAGTAAATAATGAATTAAGACTACTTTCTATCGCGGATTGTTTTAGCCAAACAAATTGTAAGTACACCACCATTACTAATTTCTTATACGGAATTTGACGGCTCTAATAATTTACGAGTAGATGGCGTGATCCTCGATCGACGAGGCCTAATTTATTCGTGAACCTAGATATCTCAGCTAGCTTGTGGATGAAGCTTGACCTAGGAAATCTTTTCAACGTGAAACAAGGTCTAAAAAGTGCTGTTATTTTGAAAAAGTAATTGATATAAAAAAGCCCAGGATAATTAACATCCTCATCAAGTTATGGTACCGTTCTATTTTAAATCAACAATCTAAATGTGATGTGCAAACCATTTTGAAAGCCATGTAACCTTGAACATCTTAGAAAAGAAGACATTTTCCTTACAATTCTATAATTCTTTATCAAATATTTGGAAAAAAGTGTGAGAAATTTGGATTCCAATATATTTTTTAAAACGTTTATGAGCCAATATGGCGCACCTGCATTTATGACATTGGTTATTTCAATGTCAAATGAAATAATATATTATTAGGTGTTATTTCTAAATCTCAAGGTTATATCGGCTTAATTATGAAATTAATTGCATTGCAAATGTAGGAAACCTATTTTAGGGCTCAAGGCAAGCTCGAGGTTATATGTTGTAGGTAGGTCTAGTTAGCGCTTAAAGGTCTACATTCTCAAATTTCTCGCTATTATTGATTTTCCAGGCTATTTAAGCCATTTAGGGTAATGTATGAGTTTTTAGCATGTTTACAGTAGGCTGTAAATAGCAACAGATGTTCTAGTTAGAGCGCGTCATACTTTTCTTTGTTTAACTGATAAACTACAGTATATTCAGTTATAGACCTGCTGATATTATTTAGGTCAAATTCCACCTGAGAGCTGATCATTTGAAAGTGATACTTAGAAATTATTTCAAAAGCTGAAATTTATTAATACAGTTAGTTCAGAGGTAATATTCCAAGGTCTAATTTGATATTTTAAACAGGGAAACATTGAAGATGCCACACCTTGAAAAGTTAACAGTGAAATTTCTCGCCATTAATTTATTAGAGTTCAGTTTTTATTGGATGATTCATTGAGTAGGAATGTGTAGTCTCGATTACCATATAAACAATGTAGAGTGAGTCTGGGTAATCACGACTATACTCCACGTCACGTGACGTATTTCTTCACGACGCCATATTGCAGTGTCTGTCGTGTATTTCAGTTGCGCCCTTCAGAAGGAAATCCATAATATCTCTTCTAGGACGTTTCCTAAATCCCCACAAACAGTTGATCAATCTGGCAAACCCTGCAGATTTCAAATTATGTATAAATATTTAGGATAAAGGAAACATTGCAAGCAAGGAAATGTGCAAAGTGCTGCCTAATTTATCATTTTCTTTCTTTCAACTTCGATACAACAGAAAATCTTGTTTCATTACAAGTTCAGTGGAAAACATTTAAGGTCTCGAAAATTTATAATCGGGAACAATTTTTGCCGTGAAATTCTAATCTACGGCAAAACATTTCAACGAGGATCATTCAATTTAAACAGTGATATAAAACACAATTTTAGAGGAGCCATTTTGTAAGAAATTTTCTGTCTTACAAAATTTTGATTTTGGAGCAGCATCAAATTCAACGAAATATCGTTGCCAAGAAGGTAAAATATATTGCCCTTTACACATAATTAATATTAGTGGCCATTTTGGACTTTCTAATGGATTTAACATATTGAACAAAATGTCCCCACTCCCATTTCATGTCTGACTTGAGAAAGGGCAGATTTCTCTTCAGTCGGCAAATGAAATGGATTTTCTCAAGTGCTAAACAACAGAATTTTGTTAAAAATCCCAACCTCATCTTTTAATAGATTATAAATCCATTAGAGTAAGTAGGACAAAGTGAAAGGCATGTTAATTTTGCATGAGAAAAGAGAGTTTTGTTGTAAAAAGTGCCGCTATGTTGTTGTCTAAAAGTAGGTCAAACTACAACAACCAAACGACACGCTTCACTGGACGCCATTTCTAATCCCGTTAGATCAACCGCCATTACTGACTCTAAACTAGGTCACTTGGCAATTTAGTACATTCGCTCTTAAATAACCCCCAAAAAATAATTTTAATCACTAATTTTATTTTGCAGACACTAATATACACGCTTTTACTGATAAAATGTTGAATATCGAACATTTAGACCTCAAATTATCAAAGTTTGGGGCCATACGGTTATTTAGACACCTGTCACGTGACGTATATTACTGACAAAGGGAGGCAATCGGGACGTGATCGAGGAAATCGATACCGTAAACAATCTAAAATAATTATAACTCTCAATTGTCTTGTTTCCCATGGCAACATTATTTTTAATATACAAAACTGTTATTATTAATTAACAAAGAGATTTTTGTTGTTGTGAAAAGGTCTAGTTAAATCTTAAATGTATGAAAATCAAAAGATTTCCATGACAACTATAATATTCAGGCTGATTAAAATGGACTTTGAGTTTTAGTTAGGATAATGAATTATTTAAAGGAATTCTTTCTAAAATCTTATTTTGAAATCTTTAAAACATAAAAGTAATGCTACTTTGTACGTTTGTGCCTTTTAGATCTGTTTATCAAAAAAAGAGTAGGCTAATGTTGCTGTCCTGGCAAAAATTCCCTCATTGCACACTGCATGGCATTGTTCGTCTTCATTAGCCCAATTTAAATTAGTGTGACGCAAAACTGCCATTTCATTTTATTCTGATTACCAGTACTAATGTTTTCTTGAGTAGATCTACTGGTCATTCATTTGAAATGTAGGTCATTCATTCACTCCTTGTGATCATTCATTCTGGAACACTACCTGGTATGGTTCATCTCCATAAGCCCAGTTAGGTTCTGTAGTGTTTGTTCATGTCAGGTGTGAGAATTTTTAATTTACCTCATTGAACACTACTGTTAGATTAGATCCCGTTTCATTAACTCCCTGAAACAATAGGAAAGTATCTCTTATAAAACCTTATTCATTCATTCATTCATTCATTCATTCATTCATTCATTCATTCATTCATTCATTCATTCATTCATTCATTCATTCATTCATTCATTCATTCATTCATTCATTCATTCACTCATTCACTCACTCACTCACTCACTCACTCACTCACTCACTCACTCACTCACTCACTCACTCACTCACTCACTCACTCACTCACTCACTCACTCACTCACTCACTCACTCACTCACTCACTCACTCACTCACTCTGTGTATTCTAGGTGTGCCAATCTAACGGAAGTAAATATGAAATAAGATGAGTCTTAGCGATCAAGGTGAAATTACAGAATCTCAAATAACTGAGACAGATAAAAGTGATGAAGATCGGGAGATGGGGGAAGGGGAGATAATTGAAGAGAATTTAGAAGATGGAGAGTTGGAAGATGGTGAAATAGATGATGATCCTCAAGATATCCCTCCAAATTCTGATCCTAATAAATTTACTATTAATTTAGGTATACTTATTGAGTTATCTATTATATAAAACCATTCTGGCAATTATTTAATGGCTTTATTTTTCATTGAGATTTTTTACATTACTCTCTAACCACAACAAGCTCAGAATTGAATTTTTCTTTCATTTCACAAATATGTGATTTGTAGAGAATTTTTTGCTCTCCTGAAAAGTTGACAAAAATATTGCACGGACTTAATGATTTTATTTTATAATATAACAATTTTGAATTTTTAGGTTCGGTTAATAATAAACCTGAAGAGAATGTAGATCAAGAAAACAACCGAGAACAACGTGTTCATAAACAACCCAAGAATTCAAATCGTGAGAAAAAGAAACGTAAAAGAAGACGAGACAAAGAGGATGAAAATGACTCGAGAAAGGTGAGTACACTGAATTTCTTTTCTCTATAACAGGGTTCCTCGAGTAAATAAGCTCAAGTGCCACAGACCTTAGCTAAGCCCCCACCCTCACCAGCCGCACCAGACGCTATGCTCGTTCTAATATGCTGTTGACTGTGAAATGTACTTGTTGTAGTTGGTAGACCCTGAATCAAGATCTCGTGATTCTTTTTTTTTCTCAACTCTCCATACAAGAAAACCAATGTGGCAGAAAAATTTTTCTTTTTCTAATTCCGTTGCACGCAATTAAGCTCGCTGCCAGTTGAGAATCCTTGCTCTAATAGGTAAAGATAACACCAGATTTTCAACTTGCTTTGTTTTATTCAGCATGGTAAAAAGAAGAGATATGTAGACCATGACAGGATCAATGAAGATGGAGACATGCAGTGGTTGGGTGAGAAACATCATGTTGGTGGTCACAAGTCTAACAAACGTCATAGAAACCGGGGTGATAGTCGTTCACCCAATCATGAAGTGTACGACAGTCCGTATGATAGTCCACCTGGTTTATATGATAGTCCGTCTGATGAAGATGGTGAAAGGTAGATAACTCTATTTAACAATTTCTTATCAAAGATGTCTGTAATACTGGGTTCATTGAGGTTGAGATGATGTTTTCGGATTTTTATCACAGTTTCATCCTATGAATGATGAGTTCAGAGTGACTAATATGTTCAGAGTGACTAATATGTTCAGAGTGACTAATATGTTCAGAGTGGCTGATATGTTCAGAGTGACTAATATGTTCAGAGTGGCTAATATGTTCAGAGTGGCTGATATGTTCAGAGTGGCTGATATGTTCAGAGTGACTAATATGTTCAGAGTGGCTGATGTGGATAAAGTCGTTCAGTGGAACATTATTTGAATGCTTGATATTCAATTTCTAGAGTTAAAAAGGAGTTTGTTGTCTGCAAGGCATTATGTACAGTGGGTTTGAATCCTAGATAGAATTGTACTCAATAATGCAAAAGGACTAAAAAACCTCTTTGTAACTCTGTAAAGAATTAATTAATTTGTGTGAATAATAACTGAACTACAATGCCATCAATAGGGCCATGACACTTTTTGAAGATTTTTAATGATGGTTTATGATAGCACATTATCATATTGGATGTAATAATTCTGTATGTTTATTGTATAGAAATGGTGAAGCTACGAGTATGTTAGGTCTGGTACAAGATGAGTTTATGGATGTCAGTATCACGGCTCAAGAAAGACAACAAGAGAGACAACAAGAAAGACAACATGATGTAGGAGTAAGTTCCCTTTAATTATTTATATTTATATTCGTAGACAACCTGGTTTATTTGAAATTGTTAATGACACTACTGTTATTATAATGCCAGATATTTCGCAGGATATTTTTGTTCAAATGTCCATCATTAGACTTTTGAATTAAAACAATAAAAACAGCATAACAGGATTTAAGACCCCCTCCTTCAGATATATTTGAATATATTCAATAAATATACAAGTTTGAAGCAGCTGAGTCAATTCATAATCACAGCCACAAGGTCTTACACAGATGATTATTTTTGTCTGTCATTATTTCAGGAAAATGATAAAAGAGAACACAGAGAGAAAAGATCAAAGAAGAAATATAAACAGAGACAACAGGATGGACCACGACATCGTGAAAGAGATCGTGGTGATCGTGTTGAAAGAGAAAAGAAAGTACCACTCAATGATTTACCACGTTCAGAACGACCACAATGTAAATTCTTTAAAGAAGGAAAATGCCAAAAGGTCAGTTGTCTTTCTTTTTCACCAAATTTGTTTTTTCAAATTTGCATATTAAGATTAGTTCTTCAATTTCTTTAAAAAACAAACAAAAATCTTAAAAACCACATTCTTGTGTTATTTCCATGTTAAAACCATAGTTTCCTATATTAGAATAGAGCCTGCAGTCGGCCTGCATCACCAAATAAAAGTGAAAGATGATGAAAGTTTTTGAAGTTATCTGTAATTGTATGATGTTCTGTATATTTACAGGGATCTAGTTGTCAATTTAACCATGATTTTCAACCTGAAAAGAAGTTAGATGTCTGTAAATATTATTTAGCAGGTGCTTGTAATAGAGATAACTGTGTTTTCTTACATGATATCCTTTTATTAGAAAAAATACTGACTAACATAGAGACGTAAATAAACTTACTGACTAACATAAAGATATAAATAAACTTACTGACTAACATAAAGATATAAATAAACTTACTGACTAACATAAAGATATAAATAAACTTACTGACTAACATAAAGATATAAATAAACTTACTGACTAACATAAAGATATAAATAAACTTACTGACTAACATAAAGATATAAATAAACTTACTGACTAACATAAAGATATAAATAAACTTACTGACTAACATAGAGATATAAATAAACTTACTGACTAACATAAAGATATAAATAAACTTACTAACATAAAGATATAAATAAACTTACTGACTAACATAAAGATATAAATAAACTTACGGACTAACATAAAGATATAAATAAACTTACTGACATAAAGATATAAATAAACTTACTGACTAACATAAAGATATAAATAAACTTACTGACTAACATAAAGATATAAATAAACTTACGGACTAACATAGAGACGTAAATAAACTTACTGACTAACATAGAGACGTAAATAAACTTACTGACTAACATAGAGACGTAAATAAACTTACTGACTAACATAAAGATATAAATAAAATGCAGGACAACTAAGAAAGTAAAATTAGACAACCATAACCTTTTGGCTGTCATCAATGGAAATCACCAAATTTTCTTACAGTAGCATTCAGTAATTGTTTTATACTAAAAAAAAAATTAACGTGCAATATTTTAATTATATTTGATATTTTAACCCCTTTAATTTTAAAATCTGTTTCTCCTTAACTTTCTGTTAACGTGAATTTCCATGTCGTTTTTATCACACGGGGAAACAATGTTACGCTGGAGATGACTGTAAATTCTCACATGAACCAATGACTCAAGAAATGGAGGAACTATTTGACAAGGTAGGTTTATATTTTCTGATGATATTGAAATATTTCTCAAGAATTTGTATGTAGCAAGACTGAGTGGTTTCGGGTGTCATTTATGAAAAGCTTTCCTTGTTCTGTAAGTGAAACCTACTACAGTTTTTGTTTTGTTTTTAGATAAAGTATACCAATGGTTACATGAATGTTATTGATCTAAATACTAAGATATATTGATATACTACTTTTCATTATGAAATACTTACTCATTTATAATTGATATACTTCCTCATATGAAAAGCTCATTAGCTGCTACCAATGTTTCCTCAAAATGTTGTTTTGAATTTCGTGTTTTGTTTTGCGGTTCGGATCGTTAGTACTTGGCTTAGTTACTCTCTGACTTTATTATTTAATACGTTTCGAAACACATACAGGTAACTTTTATTTTACTATGTTTTTGTTACCTGTATGTGTTCGAGTTTATAGTTTGTAAGTATTTGATAAGTATCGGATGTTTACAACTTACGTTATTTACTATGTAACGTTAACTGTATGTGTTTCTAAACGTAGTATATAATAAATACAGAAGAACCGGTAGTATATCTATATATCTTAGTGTTTTAATGTTACCATACTACTTCTATATATCTAATAAAGGTAATATTATTTATGAATGTATTATATTTCATGTCAGATTTTGAATGATGATTATCATCCAAAGAAGCCCAGTTTACTAGGTAAGTTTACGTTTGTGTCAAGGTCAAATGATTGATCACGTTCGTTGGAAGTTTTATGTTGTCTGTCAATAGTCTAAATATTATTACAGCAATTGATTCCCTGCCGTCATTTCAAAATAAATTGTTGTAATTGACTTATACATTGAGATGGCAAAACTGACGACAAAATTGATTATGAGATTTTTTATTCAAATTGGGTTCTTATCTTTAGACATCTTGATAGGTTAGTTATAGGTTTGTGTTGGATCATCTTCACTATGTCAAGTTACTACCAACTGCATCTAATACCTCAACTACAATACTAGTCACCTTTCTTTTATCACAAAATGCTTAAAATTGATGGAATAAAGTTTGTAATAATTTAACATTGTGAAGATGCTGTAGGGTAATTTGTAAGTTTATCTAGAATGGGCAATATTATATGTTTATGTCACTGTAGGATCACCCCCACGTCATGTTTTAGAAGAAGCTGAGAGACTGAAAGAAAGAAGAGAACAAGTTAAGAAGATCCCATCTATTTTTGATATTGAAGTCTTTCCACCTGGACACAGTCCGACAAAATCACCACAGAAAAATATCTCACCTGCACGGTAAGTAAACTTCTTCAGGAGATTCATAGTAAAGCTCTCTGATAGTGTAGATAATTATTGTGGAGATTTATGTGTAAAGCTGTTATATTGTGTCATCTTACTTGTAAATGAACTTCTTGAAAAGGGACAACAATAAACCAAGACCCCGTGTGCTACAGGCTGTACATGTTGAAGATCTCTGGACAGTTGGAAATTGAAAAAGAGAAGGGTAATGCTGCTGTCCTGGCAAAATTTCCCTCATTATTACAGGTTTAGCGTATTGTTTATAGAAAAAAAAAGTTTGTAAGACGTTGTATTGAGAGTTTGTTTTCTTTTGATTTTCAGGCCTGCAGGATTTTACAATGATTCACAAGGTCCCCACAACAACTTTGGTCCCCCTATGAACAATATGGGTCCCCCCATGAACAACATGGGACCCCCAATGAACAATATGGGGGGACAGGGCCAAATGAACAATATGGGGGGTCAGGGCCAAATGAACCCTGGTCAAATGAACAATATGGGACCCCCTATGAACAATATGGGGGGACAGGGCCAAATGAACCCTGGTCAAATGAACAACATGGGTCCCCCCATGAACAATATGGGTGGCCCTGGTCCGATGGGACCTAGGATGCCACCCCCAGTCTTTCAAGGAGGACAAGATGTGAGTGGCAACCAGAATGTGGCCCCAGGGTCAGTGTATAACATGATAGGTGCTATTTTGAGAACAGCTGCTCCATTGCTTGCCACACAGATTACTGGACAACCGGGACTACCAGAACAAATGCCCAATCATCCAGACTCGGGAGCTATGTACGACCAGTCTCAATATGAAGAGGAACAAGAAAATATGGAAGGCGATCAACAATACGCTGGAGATTATCAAAATCAAAACTGGCAAAATCACCCGCAAAATGTTCCACAAAATCATCCACAAAATTTTCCACTAAATCACCCACAAAATGTGCTTCAAAGTTTTCCTCAAAATGTTCCACAGAAGTTTCAACAAAATACTCAAAACTTCCCTAACCCAGACCATCAGGAGAGACATGAAATCATGGAGAGAATGTCTTCACCCCCTCAGAATAAACCAATAGACCCTCGGGCTCGTATGAGACAAGCTGCTAGAAATGATATAAAATCACCCCCACAGTCCTACCCTAGCTCCGTCTGTAAATCTATCTCTGATGATGAAGGTCACCATTCTGGTGTTGATGAACGAAGACCGTCGACTGATGATGAAAAACCAACGCCGGCACCACAACCTGAGATGAATTTTGGGCCGAAATTTGAATTTAGTAAAGGTAAGAGCTTGGAAATAAATTTACCCCAATCCATTTTTTCATCAAATTTTCTGTGTCTCAATAAAAGGGGTAGTTTGATTGATTCTGAGGTTGATTTGAGTCTTGAATATTTGTAAACAGTCTTAGAACTAAAAAAGAAATGAATTGCATAATTCCTTCAAAAATATCTCAAACTAGCAATTTCACTTTCTTTTTCAATATATATCTTTTCTACACATGGTAAAGTCTCGAGAAAAGATGAGTTGTCATTTCAACATTCAAATGTGGAAAATTCAGCACACAAGGATTTGAAGACTCAAATTGTCGTATGGTTTGTTGAATAATTTATGTATCATGATGAATGAATGAATGGGTTGTTGATATATTCGTGTGAATAATTTAAATATATTAACAATGATTATGTTTCAGATGATAATTGGTATTCTAGTGATGAAGATAATGATGATCAGAAATTAACCATTAATACCGAGGTATATATAAACTTACACTAAAACCTCTTGAAACTGACGTATTTGGTATTCGGGCCTATATAATCTAGAAATAATAGCTAAATAAATAAACACAACACCATGTTAACTTCACTGTAATATCAGAAGTTACTAATCTATAGTTATATACATATTGATACATATTTAAACATCTTAAAATGATTGTAAAGAGACAATGATAGCATCAATTTACACCATTCTAAAAGAATCAACAACTTTAAAAGTAGTGTAGATAGAGTTCATCTCATTTCCCTGCATGGATAACATTATAAAATTTATAGATATAAAAACACAGAATACTGGTTATTAGTTAACATTTCACAGACATTGGAATGGTTCATAGTGATAATATTTCAATAATTTCCTTATTGGTTCCCAAACTATATTCCTCTGTAGCCTTCAGTTTACCCTTGTTTTATAATTTGACTATGTTATATTCAGGAGAAGTCGTCAACGTTAAATAAAAAACCTACAATTGATATAATGGAGATGATATCTAATGTTAAAGATAAAACACTACATAATACAACATCAGATACCAGGTATGTTATATTTATATATATAATACAACATCAGATACCAGGTATGTTATATTTATATATATAATACAACATCAGATTTGACAGGGATTCTGTTGTATAGTTATTTATCTTAGTAGTTTAATGAAATGAGAGTGAATGAGGTTTTCTAGCTCTATGTGTATCAGGACTGTTCATGTCTTCATTTCTGTCAGACATCTGTGATGCCTGTTATTATAGAAAAGGCTAACGTATGTGATGATACTTTGAAAAGCTGCTAACAATAATATCTCAGAAAGTGACTTACAACGTCTAATGAATAGTTATATAATTGAATTTTATTTAATTTTTTCACTCAGTTTTGTGATCTGAATGATCTCCCACAAGCCTGTGTTTGTAGTTGACTTTGTTAAACTCACTCTTTTCTCTTTTTCAGGAGTCAGTCGTCAGAACCTCAAGCCCCTGCGTTCTATTCACCTTCAATGACATTATCTAAATCATACAGTAGACCCGATCAACAAGTCCCTGTGACTCACTGTATCTTAACCAATATGATTTATAGAATCAAAACATTTACCTTAGAAGTGGACAAACCTTACGATACGATTCCTAAGTCTATAGATCCTATAGACAGTCGCTACCAAAACGATCCTCGTGTACAAAAATACTGTGCAAGACTTGCTCGTAAAACTTCGTTGCCAACACCGACTATTCCAACGGAAAAAAAAGTGGACAGAATTCAACTTCCAGACTTAAATCTAAATTTAGACGGTACTATTAATTTGGATATAAACAAAGCCGTGGATACGCGAATATCTCGGACTAGTGTAGAGGACCAGAAACCGCCAGCGATGGATCCACGAAGCAGATCAGACCCCAGAATGTTACGCAATATTAGCAATGAGGATGAAAAACCCAAATTTGTGGATCCACGTTTATCGCGGAATGTGAGCGTTGAAGACAAAATTCCGAAAGCATTTGATCCACGAATGTCTCGGAAGTCTAGTATAGAGGAACAAGTCAAAGCATCCATCACAGACCCTCGAATGGCACGCAATCTGAGTTCGGAGGTTCCTAAACCCCAAATAATAGATCCTCGAATGTCGCGGAAAACTAGTACAGACGAAAAATCCCCAATTTATCAAGACCCCAGGATGCGACGTGTTCAAAAAAACACCAGTGATAGTGCTTCTAATGTTAAAAATACTCTAGGTACAGACATAGAATCTATGGTACCAAAACCACGAACAGACCCTAGAATGGCACGTTCTATTAGTATGGAGACTGGAGTACCGAATATTCAACAGTTTTCTTAAAGAATATATGGTATATGTTTGTTTGTTTGTTTGTTTGTATAATTGTGAGTGCTATATAGAATGTTTTATGTTTTAAAATTCAACGACATTTAGAAGCGGAGAGAACACATATAATAAAAACACGAGGGAATATATTATGGTATAACGCACTTCTTTAA